TACTTGGCCACCCCTTGACAGGTTTTTCTAATTTATTCTTCCCCACACAAGTTATTTGCTTAAGCCCAATAATCTTGGCAGTACTGGTCAAGATTGCCATCTTTCCCACATTCCCCACATCTTGTAGCCTTTTTCGGTAATAACATAAAGTTAGAACTTTTGTACTTCTTGTTTTTCCTTCAACCCCACTCCTAATGCAATTGATTAGAATCCCCTAGGACAGGTTCATCAAACGAGATTTTTTTCGTCAATTTCAAGATAGCTGCTGACATTGTACGACGGTAGCTCTGTGTTGGTCAAGCGTCTCATTATTTTATTATTTTTCGACTGTTTCTTTGTTATTTGATGGCCAAATATGACCTTGTTTGCGATAGAAAAATCTTTTTGAAGATGGGACTATCTCCTTTTCCTTTTTTGAAGAACGGTGAAACCGAACGGTCTGTTCGTGATATTGAGAGGAGAGACTAGAAGCTGATTGCCATGTGTAGTTGTCTGTGAGTGGAGTGATCTTCAGCGATTCTTCTCCATTTCAACAAGTGATTTTCGTTAGATTTTTCATCTAAAAAGTTTTTCAACCGTCACGTCCTTATGCATCTCCTCAAGCTAGCTAGCTGTCTCCTTTCGCTCTTAATTTCATCCCCTTCGCTTATGTGGTTAAAACATCAAAAGAAGAAAGCTGTCAAAAATAGGAAAGCAACTCGATTCTCTTTACCTTTCATTCATTTTCTACTTTTAGTCATTATTCGAGTCAGATGTAATTGCTATTGCCCTCAGCAACGTCTCACGACGACAGATCTCATTTGACTTCTATTCGGCTCTCGCCTAGTATAAAATTTCATATTTCATATATATTATTCTGATCGACAAAAGTGTTTGTAGTTTGCTTCGGTCAGAAGTTCAAAGGATGATCTCCAGCATGTTATTTGAGAATCACATCTAGTAAATGAAGTTTCCCTATGAGTTTAAACTACATATGAACCTGCCTAGTGTTTGTACCCCTCCCTCTACCTCCACCACTCCTTACCAACTGAAATCGTCTATCCTAACCCATCCCAAACACTCTCTCTGTTTGGAGAGACAGTTTCAAAGATACTTTTATGAATGGAACCACTTTTCCTTATAACTCTGTTCTCTGTTGTCTTGTCTAATCCTTCCTCCCATGTTTTTTCTTTTTCTCGCTCTGTCTTTGTGCGCGGCCGAGTAATATTTAGATCTGACGGTTTTCCGATCACTTTAACATTTAAAAGCTTAGAGCAAATTAAAAATCACTCTGACCTCCTCACGATGCTCTTCATCTCTTCATCAACCAAGTCTTTCTAAATTTGGTCATTAGTTGTTTATTGTCTTAGTTTTTCTTGGTTTTCGTGTGAGAAGAGAGTATACGGATGATCTGCTGTCTGGAGTTTCTTTACCTCATTCTCGATGCACTAATCATCGTTTTTTCTTTTCGCTTTCTTTACTATTGTTTCTCACATTTTCTCTTTTTTTTCTTCTTTGCTCTTGTTACCATCCAAATGATGATGGTCAGATGGGAAGGTGAAACCGTGTGCGTTTTAGCAGCTTAGCCATCTAGAATGAGAAGGACAAACGAGAACTAAAGAATGGTCTTGCTCACCGATCAGCATGTTCTGAAAAGACAGACACTCCTCCCCCGTCTTTTTTACAGGAGCTTTAGTCCATTTTCTTTTCTTTTTTTGTTAGTATGTCTGAGAGTCCAAAACGATTATAGAGAGAAGACTCATTGCCTGTTTTAATGAATATGCGTTGTTGAAGTTCTTCTAAAATTAAATCACAGCCTGAATAGAGCACTCAACTCGCGAAGCTTAGAATTTCATGTAGTTCGTATCGAATATCTGAGATGCTCTCATAATCAAGTGGACTTTATATGTCACTTTCGCCATGTTTCAACAGGTCCACAACTAGAATACCAGAATAAACTCTATACCATGTCTCTTCTTATTGTGCATTATGTCTGAACTATTCGCATTTCCGCAACCAGCAACAAACACTTCATCATTATTCTCAGCCAGCCAGTTTCATTCAAAAAAATCATTTTAAAAGGGTTATGTAAAGACATTTCTTGAGAATGTAGCCCGAAGCAGCTATTCAAACTTCCCGCCATTCCTTATGCGTTAACTTAATTAGCATTAGAGCATACGATCTGTTTTCGTTTTCATTTTTCTTGTTAGTCGCGCGGTGAACGGTTGTGTCTATCAACTTGTTTTTGAATATAAGACACACATGTTCAAAGGTTAGTACTACGTACTCTTTTTTTAAATTCACCTTTCTCATATAATTGTTTCCTAGATTGACCAACCGGAAGAGCATTTTTCGAGCCGATGCCCTCTGGCTCTCCACACTTTTTATGAAAACGAAAGGCTAGAGCCGGAAATGGCTACTGCTTCACCTCTCATTCTTGAGAATACTGATGATTGAGAATTCGTTTTGCAATTCATTTTTATGATATTGAAGAAACATTCGCAAAGTTCAAGTATATTCTCTTCACCACTTTCATTTTCTTGTAATGTTCTTTTCTCCATCAAATGATAGAGAGAATTGCCATGGCTTGCACTATTGACTCTTGGCTGGAGTAGTGTCCTGTCGATTGCGGTTCTGATACGACCGGTCGTCAGACTGCTGGACGTTCATCTTCTGCTCTTCTGCGAGTTCTTCAACAAGACAAAATGCATTGCTTCTCTGATGATTGTATTGAGGTCATTTTCGAGCAGCTTGTATTTTTCGCTCAACAGGCCTTCCATTCCATTTTTTCTCAAACTTCATTATTCAATGTTTTTATGAAAGCCTAACAATGTTATTCGAAGCTTATATCTCAGCTTTCAAAAAACTGTCATTTCGTCCAGTTTGTGCTGTCTGTCGTCCTAGTCGCTGTCTGGCTTTTTTTGGCTCTCGGACCATCAGCTATTTTGAATTCTCGATGTTGACCTCCAACATTCAAATTACCGTCACCTGAATCGGCAAGAAGTTTAGAGAATTCGCTCGTATTAGGTCAATTGGCATAAGAGTTCAAAGTATTCTTTCTCGCCTTTTTCCATCTTTCACTTCTATTTTTTGTGTTTTATCAATGCATTCGACCATTTTTATAGACGAAGATTTCCAGATATTCTTGCAATAGACGATTTTCTTCTGTATATCCTTTCCTATATTCATCCTAATTTCTGTGTGTATCCAATCTTCGTGACCCGTCGTCTAACTCAAATCAAGCATGTCGGGCCATCAACGTGAGGTCGATCTGCCTCAGCTCTTCAGCGATGTCTCTCGAACAATCAGTGGAATTTCGAACATTATGGGAGCTGGACTTGGTCAAGGTAAGAAATGAAAACAAAAACATATCATCATCTTGTTCTTCTCATTCGGAGAAGACATAGAACACAAGATGAAAAGAATAAAATCTGAGAAAAGGTTGTCTGTGTATGTCTATGTGTGTTGCGGTCAGTGCCAAATGTAAACAGATCTTAGTAACAAAACCATTAAAATAGTTGACCCGTCTTTTCTCTTTCGTTCGTTTGATTGATCTTCTGTTCTTTTCTATGCTCTACGGTTTGAAAAGACGTTGATCTACCTACACACCTCGATTGGTCAATAACAGGCGTCTCCATCTTCACCACCACCCACCCTCTCATCCTTCTCTTTTTGGACTTTCATCGCATTTCATTTTGAAACATTGAAGTCCTAGTTGATGTTTCTCATCTTCCATCATCAACAGTTCCATCGTTTTTCCTCAATTATTTGTGAATTTGTCAAAACGTCTGACAGATTCCTCTCTCTCTCTATCTCTCCCTCATTTCTCTCTCCCTCTCCCTTTCCTTTTCCGTAAACGACAGTAGTGACCGATTGGATACTATTTTGAAGTCTGAAAATTACCTCCACTATTATAAAATGAGTTTGAAGGCTAGTCGATGACCTGCTTGAAAACTTGCATGACACTTCTATCCATGTTGTTATATGTTTGTCATCTTTCGGACACCGACATATGAGCTGGAAATTCCATTTTTTTCATTCTTTCTCTCAATTCAGATCTTCAGAAAGTGGTGTGTTAATCACGATTCTGAGAATGAACTGAACAATGAGAAGCATAGAAGTAGCTTACTCAATGCCATTACTCATCAGCCCGCAGATCACATTTATATCATATCATATACTTGCTAGCAACTTCAATTCGGTGAAGTTTGTTTGTCTTCTCCGTCAATCAACTTATTCCTGTGATTCACCGAGCTCAGTATCTTCCTATATATTGTTTCTTTCCCATCGATTTCACAGTTCCTCTCGCAAATAGTTCTAACAGGTGTTAGTTATCACCACTACACCCTTTGCAGCTTTTTTTTTTCCGCCACATCTTTTCAATATCTCAATTCCGCTCAATCAAGGCTCATTTTCCAAATTGATTCCTTTCATCTTCCTTTTCTTTAGCTTATTTACGGAAATTTCGAAGAATCAATCACCACGCTCAGAAACAGTGTCCTCGCACATGATCCAGTTTTCATTCAAAAATTCATAATTGGCCTTCCAAGTATGGGACATACTCCTCACTGACCATTCGAATCCTACTTCTCTTTCTGCGGCTATATGAAGTCTCAACTCTTCATCACGAAAATGCTGAGAAATTTTGAGCTTTTTTCCTTTTTTCTTGTCGTTCAACCATGAAATGCTTTACCTGCGAGTATCCTTTGTACACTTCCGGTTGTCACGTTTATGGGCAACAATGACCGCTTGCATTGTCCATCTATGCTTTATATTTCACACCCCATACACACAACTTATTCTCTGATTATACTTTGAGTACAACTGCTTTGCCGAAACTGATCGTGTTTGAACATTTTGTTGTCTTCAGATCAGCCTCTTCTAGACGGCGATTCAACCTCCGGTGCATCATCATCATCCTCATCTTCTGGACCTTCAATGATGTCAGGCCTCTTTGGTAATACTTGCTTCAAAGCATGTGGTATGGAAGATATACAGTATGCTGCTAGAGTAAGTCAGCTTTATTTACTTTAAATGGTATTTTCGTTTAAAATTCAAAGATTCTTCTCCTAGTATGGTGTCAGATAATATTTGCGCATTCTTCTCCGCTCAAGCTCACAAGCTGATCCTTTATTGGTTTTTTTAGTTTTAAGAACCGGTAAAGGTTGAAAAGAAAGAAATATGAGGATGCAATTGGTTCTCTCTCATTCTCTTCCTTTCATCTCCTTTTCTTCCTTATATGGATCTAATCATATTCAATAGGAAAGCTCAGGGGACAGTTACTTCACTAACGAAAAGACAATCCCTCTACTCCACTGCTATAAACATTAAAACAGTTGAATAAATAGAAATGGTTGACATCGAGAGATACAAAAATCATGAAAACAGGACGAGCAAGAACCTCCTCCAAGCATTTGGTCGACTTTTTTTTGGATTCAACTTTCAACTACTCGTATCTATCAATCAGTTTTCATCAATTACCCCCAATATGGGCGATATCTTCGATTGGGTCAGTTCTTGTCTGTTTCCTTCCCCCTTTCATGTATAGTTGACTTCCTCCCTATCCCTTCCAAACTATATACTTTCCAAAAGAGAGGAGCGTTTTTTCTCGAAGCAAATTGAGAAAATGTAGTTTGGAAAGGTCAAAACTGGGATTAGGCCATCTTAAGAGTTCATCCACCTCAAACGTTCTAGTCAGAGAGGAGCTCGTTGTCTTCCTTTTGCGGTGAGGTTGGTGGGTGGGAGATGAATGTGCAAAAATTAATTTTAAGAACCACCTTGCTCTAGCGTTCAAATAGGAATTTAGATTCGAGTTTCAAATGAACAAATGTTTGTTCAATAGTACAAAATGCAAATAATTCTGGAATCAGTTGATTCATGTGATAAATCTATCAAGCATCAAGCTTATGTTTGATTACCTTGCAAGCTTACCCCGGACATTTTTCAGTCAGCAGGAGACATGTTTCTGTCTTTCCGTGTTTGTATTATTATTTTCACAATTGTGGCTCTGCTTTGCCTTCTAACCTTAACAGCTACTGTTGTCTACTTAGTCTGCAAAAAGGTTTGTTTATCTCGCACAGTTGGGCAGTCTCAATGAAATAGCTTTCAGCAAAGCCCATCACGTCGGTTTCCACTTCCAGCTTTTGTTCGTGATGTTTTTCCGAGTAAAGATGGAGCAGCAAAAGACGAAAATCAAAACTCATAAACATTCAACCTTCTGTCTCACAAATGCTCTTACAGGATCTTTCATTTATCACATTTTATTTCAAATTTCTTTTATCCACATGAGAGACAGTCTATCTCTCAATGACTTCGTCTAGCTTCATCATCTGCTTCCTCTTCTTCTCCTTTTTTTTCTCATATTTAGCAGATATACCTATACCCTTCTCCTACTCTCCTCCTCCATCCCTTCCCCACACAAGTTGTTGTTACTAAGTAACGCCCTTATTGACAATTCTTTAATTGTTGGTGCAATTGAACGAGTACATTTTATGAAAAAAAAGAGACTATTATATCTAAATATATAACAATGATGCTCATAGAGATACGACGTCATCACTTACATAGTCGCTATGTGTTTAGCAACATTAACTCAGCTGTTCATACTACAAACATATGTTTTTGATCTACTATTTTCTTTTTTAATAAAAACATTTGATCTAAAAACATGTATGTGAAAGAATACACAAACAACAATGAAACACAACAACCGGTCAATGCGCCAACAAACATTCAAACTGTTTCGAGATTACGAAAAGTGACGTATTTCACGTGTTTCACGCATCTACGTGAAAAACGTTTTTTCATGTAAATATCTTCGCGTTGGATGTAATTTATTGATTAACGCTTTTGATTGTTATCACTAGGATATTAGAATTTGTGAATGAATGAAGAAATGTATTTGACGGGTTGTCTATATATGGTTTGTCTTACTTTGAAATGCGCATAAACCTTTTTTGAGGAACGATTGTTGTTGTTGATTACTTTGAAATATGAAAGCTCATTGAGTACGAGAGTACAAACTGATTTTCCTTTGACTATGTTGATTTGATTCGAATGTGATGAAGTTTTGTGGCTGGCGGGGGAGTTTAAGAAAATGAAATTGTTATTTGGATTGAGTGCATATTCAATCACCTCAATTTTCCAAGTGTGTTGTCGATTTTTTTGTATTCAAATGATGTATGTGCCTTTGGGGATCATAATTCATTTGGATTCAAAGGGCTGGCTCTTATAAGCTCCGACAGATCCTCTGTCTAATGACATTTGGAATGTAGACAGAGGATATGAATATGAGTTTGGTATGTACATATGTTTGTTTCTTGTTGTAGCATGTGTTGTTGTCTATAGGTTGTATAGATGTTATTCTGAGAAAACGTTTTTGACCAGAAAATGCACAAGTTGGTCAAAAGAAAGGAAAGTTTGTTGAAAAGAGTGAGCAAGTGGAAAAAACGATGGATAATTGAAAATTTAAAAAGTAAAAGAGAAAGTCAATGGAAAGTCTTATTTCGTCTGAAGTCTTTCTTTTTTCTGTCTGAATGGGCTGAAGGAACGACAATTGGACATCGAAAGAAGCATAAAGTGATTATGTGAATCCATTAATCTATTGTGAGTGGTTTGACGCCCATAGCTCCGGCTCCTGTTCAGCTTTTCTCTTCTTCAGCATCATTCACAAGCTATTATCACTCTGTAACCTCCATCATATCTTTTTCTCTCTCATATACTCTAAGTATTCATTATCCTGTGTGTATCATTGAGAGTTTAGTCCGTTATTCTTCTTGAGGAAGAGTCTGCAGTTAACTTTTCTTGAGATTCTTACAATACAATTACGCACATCTTCATCATCTGATTGTTTGGTTTCCTCACAAAAAAAAATCGTCTTGAAATCTTTGAGTTCTTCATGTTCACTTCCTAATCCAATCTAAATCTTCACCGATTCAATATCGTCGTCTGAAGATAAGTGAAGGGGATAAACGTAGAGTTAAAAGCCCAACTTGCTATCTTCATTTGTTTGTTTTTCTTCTTTTCCTATTGTGGATAAATTTAGCTTAAATAGAAGCTTATCTTCTTTTGCCTATTCTTTACTATGAAAGAACATGCTCTTGAGTCCCTTTCCCGTTCCGCTATTCATGTATGATTTCAGAAATTAGAAAACATCGCCTATGGACGACTGCTGTTGATTACAGATTAGCAGCCTGAATCCAGACTAGACGAATTTGGAAGCCCGCCTGCCACTTCTTTAATAATATTTTAGTATATCCAGGGGGATGACAATTATGCTCAGAGCATTATTTTTGTTTCTTTTTTTAATATTCTCATCTCAATCAGCACATTCATACCAAGGTAGGTGACTTGCTTCAATCTAGATCATAAAGAGTCATTATAGGTGCTTTAAATCGTTTGACCAGACATCTGTTAGCACAACATGATAAGTGAGTTTGTCTTCGAAATATTTAGGATTATACAATTCTCTTAATTTCAAGAAATGCACCACCAGATGGTGCCGTTATTGTAACCCATGAAATGGAGCTTGTTCACATTCTCAACATTGATGAGTTGAAGCAAAGTATGAGAGTATTAGTATATATAGTAGAGGTTAGCTTCTTCATCAACATATTTCAATAGACTATGGCTTTTTCAGGAATGGACTGATCCTTCACTTAGTTGGGATCCTGCCAGCTTTTCTGGTGTCAATATCACTTGGCTACCTGAGCATTCTATTTGGGTGCCTGACATTCTCGTTTTCAATATGTATGTTCAACAGGTATAAATCTGTTACATATAGATTGGTTTCATTCTAGGCTGGATCACCAGGATCTTTTGCATAGCGTTCGATCACCAATCAAAGTTTATCATACGGGTCGAGTATGGTTCTCATATCCAGCCATATACTCAGTCATGTGCACAATCGGTAACTCTCATATACTTCATTGACAGTTCATTTTACTTTCATTTCAGGTGTTGCGAAGTTTCCTTTTGATGATCAAACTTGTCGGCTGAGGGTTTCGGCTGTTTCATAGTAACCATATTCATTTGAATGCTTCAGATAGCTTCCTGGGGTTATCCGGAAGGAAAGCTTTACATCAACGCAACCCGAATGCCATATCTAACTCACTACTCTCCCAATGAAGAATGGGCTCTCCAGGTTAGTTGATATGAAATGAAAGTTTGTTATCTGACTAGTGTTGATGAGCTTTGAGCCAGATCATGATCTGCGGGTAACGTTCTTACTGCGTCCTCCCCTTTTATCGTCTTCAAAATTACACTTTCGAAACTTCTAATGACATCGTTAACGTGATGATAGACGAAATCACTAAGCTCTCGTATCTATGTGATCCTGAAGATGAAAATAACCATTCAATGGAATGTTATCGAATCAATCTTGTTAATTTGTACTTCGAAAATTTAACAAAAAACTGAGAACTCAGGAGATATTGTCGGTCTTCAATTGAAAAAAAAGTGTTTTCACCTCATGTCATCTTCATTTTATTCTTCCAGAGTGTGAATATATCGTCAAGACATTATGAACATGAGGGAACAATTGTGAGCGAAGCGTGCTACCTTGTTTCTGTGAGCAGAAAGCCTTTCTACTACTTGGTCTCATTGGTTATACCCACTTATATAATTTGCATGCTCTCTGTATCAGGATTATTCGCTCGCTTCTCTACTCGACATGAAAGACAGGTATGATTTGATTAGATTAGCTCCTTCTCCGCCATTTGTTTGCTAAGCGCAACATGAACGTAATGACTTGCTTTATGTACAAGTTAGACTCTATAATCCTAGATAGATAAGAGGTTGCAATAGAATTGCGAGTACTGGAAGAAACCGTTCTGAGAGTGTTATGATAAACAATATTTTGGAAGTTGATGAATGCAACCGATAGAAGGGTATACGAATGCAACCGAACTGAGGGTACTAGAATGCAATAGAAGGAAGGGTTATACGAATGCAATCGAACTGAGGGTATGAGAATGCAACTGATCTGTGGGTCCAAAAATGCAACTGATCTGTGAGTACAAGAATGCAACAGATCTGTGTGTCGAAGAATTCAAGCTTTGCAAGGGTATAAGAAAGGCACCATTCATGTATGAATTGTTTGATACAATATCGTTTCCATCATGAGTTGCCCTCAACTATCCAGAAGGGATCGAAGTATAACTCGATTAATTTCAGGAGAGATTTACTCTAGGAGTTACGTCTATTCTCAGTATGGCTGTTCTTTCTGTTGTCGTAACAGAAAAAGTCCCACATAGTTCCGAAGAGGTTCCTCTATTAGGTACTGAGTTTTCTATAGATGTTTCTTACGTCGCACATGTTTAGTTACATATTTCCACTTCAATATGGTCATAGTAACAATAGCTACGATCTTGACATCTTCTGTTATGCGCGTCGACACCAAAGTGGGTTCAATGGAAGCATTTTTTTAATAATATAGAATGAATTAAAGGGCTATACGCATGATAAAAGTCCTCCCAGGTGGATAACTTCAATACTGTTGATCAGGACTCATCGTTGGAATAGAACGCAACAAGCGAATAATGGGGAAATCGTAAGAATATTCGAAACTATAATTGATATTAAATAATCAAATCATAGGCTACAAAAAGGCAAGTGCGACATTTGCTGGCAAAGCAATGGGGAGAGGTAAAAAGACACAGTAATTCGGTTCGATAACATTGATTTTAAGGTTTCGAGAAGAATGGATTACGGTCTATTATTAGTATTCCTATTGTTCATATCTGCACCTACTGTCTATCTGTTTTATCTTTGTGCCGTTATGGATAATATGACTCCTGAAAGGGTTTTGCTTGAAACACGAACTTGATTGCGATAATTTTGGGCGATTTCTTTTTGCGTTTTTTTGCTCTTCTGCTACGGATAATATTGTGAAAGCATTTAGTGTGATATTCTCAAGATTTCATTACTTTTACCTTGTACTTTAAAACATTCGCAAATGAATAATTATTGATTTGATGAAATTCCCACGAGTAGAAAGTCCAAAGATACAAAGTTTGAACAGTCGCAGGTCGAAACCCCGCCCCCATTAGCGGGAACGCGGCCTTTCTAAACGTTGGCGAATTGCCAAGCGCGTCTTCGCTGCGGGACCTGACCTTGGAATGGGCAGAATAAGGCCCGCGTTGTGCAACGCGCGCGGTTTCATTTTTCCGTCCGGAGGCGTCCGAACTATCCGTTTTTACAGCCTATGGCCGTTTTCGTAGTATGTCTGGAGGCATAATCACTACAGACGCAGTTCAAGACGCCCTGCATCGCGCAAAAGATAGGATAGAGGTAGGATAGCTTTTAAATTCATATATTGGGGTTGAGTTCACCGTATAATATGCATTACTTACAATGTCTCTGCATATATTGTTTTTTGTTCAATTTGATTAAACCTAATGAGTAGTAGTACTATTGATATCTTATTTGAATTGCATATGCTTTTTTGCTGCATTTTGTTAAATATATAGTGGTGTTGCATAATGTGCATACTGATATTTTTTATGAAATATTGCATAATATATTCGTTGCGTCTTTCGATTTTAAAATTTAATAAAGAGGTTCAATACAGTATATGCTATTATTTTTTAAGCAATTCGGTATGGTATAAGTCATTCTGGTATTTTTTGATGTTGGTTTTTATAAATTGAATTAATGCTGGGTTGTAATTTTACTTTCCATCCTATTTGATAATACATAATATAAATATATTTTATAAATATAAACTTCGATTTTAACCGTTTACCATATGTTTAGCTCGCCGCTGTCGATACTCATACTTCACTCAAGCGAACACTAGAGGACGATATTGATCGTGCGTATTCAAGTTTCATCATTTGTTCATTTTTTCTGGTTTGCCATTGTTTCGTGTATTGCAGTTTTTGAAATGTTTTAATTTGTTTATTTTTTATTTCACATTAAGGGGGTTTTCCGTCTTTCTGACCTCTCCTGTAATTGCTCTTTTCAGAACTCCCTGCTAAGAGGGCAAACGTCGAGGGAATGGACGGTACAGGGCTTGTTCAAATGGGAGGTGCCTATATGCAAATGACTGGTAACCCCAACGAAACTATTGTCGAGACTATTAATATTCCCGGCAACACTGTAGGTCTTGGTAAGTTACATTGCAGTCTCTACCGGTTAATCAAATCGGTGTTCTAGTTATTGGTAGAGGAGGATCAGAAATTCAAAATATTCAAGCACAGTCCCAATGTAAGGTACAGATGAGTCCTGAAAATGAACCAGGCTCAGGAATTAGGCAGTGTACTCTTCAAGGAAATAAGGTAGTAGCCCATCACTTGAGCTCGTACACACTCCCACTTGTTTATAGATGGCCGTCGAGAGAGCCAAGCAATTAATTAATGACGTAATCGCCAGAGCTAACAACCGTCAAGCAACTGGAATGGCCAGTTACGATGGTGGCGATGGAAGAACTGTCACTTTCGAAATGATTATCCCTGCAACGAAATGTGGCCTCATTATTGGAAAGAATGGTGATACCATCAAGCAATTACAGGTTGCGAAAATCAATAAATATGCCTAGTAACTGGTTGTTTAGGAACAAGCCGGATGCAAGATGGTCATGATTCAGGAGTCTCAAGAGGTCACCGGTCAAGCTAAGCCCTTGAGGATTACCGGAGATGTAGAAAAGGTATTAGATGCTGCCTATTTATACATTCAACCGCCTATATTAAGGTCGAAACTGCTAAACGTTTAGTTCTTGATTTACTTAACTCTCGTGAAGATAATGGTGGTGTTGGAGGTGTTAGACCCCAATACACCAGTGATGCTCCAACTGCTAAAGGAGAGGTAAGGATTAGCTAGCTAAGAGAGCATTTCATTGGGGATGTTTAGGTTGTTGTCCCAAGATCTAGTGTTGGAATGATTATTGGTAAAGGAGGTGAAACCATTAAGCGTTTAGCTATGGAAACTGGAACTAAGATCCAATTCAAGCCTGATGGTATCAATGTATCAGGAATGCATTTGTATAAGTCTGCTCTTCAGATGATCCAAGCTCTCCTGATCGTTGTGCTGTTATAATGGGAACAAGAGATCAAATCTACAAGGCTACTGAATTAATCACGGAATTGGTTCATAAGAGCTGCAATGGCGGAGCTGGAGCCAACACTGGAACCAACGAAGTTTTCTACATGCATGTTCCTGCCAACAAAACGGGATTAGTTATCGGAAAAGGTGGTGAGACCATCAAACAGGTGTGTAAAAATTTAAGACACCGATACGTTCCAATGATGACCTTGTAGATTAACGCTGAGAGTGGTGCCCACTGCGAACTTTCTCGTGATCCTCCACCAAATGCTCAAGAGAAGGTTTTCATTATCAAGGGAACATCTTACCAGATCCATCATGCTCAACACATCATCCGAATAAAGGTTGGAGACTTCGCTCCTGGTACTCCTGTGCCACCTTTCTCTGGAGCTGGTGGTCAACAAACTGGAAATGGAACCTATGGCGGACCTGCCCAATTCGGAGGTGCCCAATACAACCAGCTTCAACAAGGTAAGAGCGGTCTCAAACAGCCCGAGCTAAATTATAATTTCAGCTCAACCTGAAGCTTCAAATGGTTGGGGAGCTCAACCCGGAGCTCAAGCGTACTATGGCGGTGCTCCCGCTGCTGCTCCTGCTGCTTCCTACCCAGCTCAAGCATATCAGCAACCATCTGCGCAGCCTTACGTCACCCCTGCCGGTCAAGCCGCTGCCGCTCAACCTGTCCAGGCTCCAGCACCATCCATCAACCCCCAGACTGGTCAGCTTGATTACAGCGCTCAGTGGGCTGCTTATTATAGGTGAGTGCAACGAATGATGCAACGAGTTCTAATCTTCTTGTTTAAAGATCTATGGGCATGCATGATCAAGCCAGCATGATTGAAAATCAAATGAAACAGAGCCAAGCCAGAGCTGCTACTAGCGCCCAGCCAGCCGCTGGATATGGTATCCATTAGTACGGCTTCAGAAGAGTAAATGCCAAGTTACAGGCTATCCTACAGGCCAACCCCAACAACAATTCCCTCAAACTGGCCAGTTTGCTGCAGCCCAGCAACAACAGCAACCGCCGCAATTTTAAGTATTTAAGATCTCCCGACCTCCCGACCGATTTATTAATCTATTCTTTGTTATTCGTTTTGGCACTCTTTTAGACGCCACTTCGGGTTGTGGTTATGTATTCTGTTAGGTCGGGCCCACGTTTTCATGAATATTCACCATCTTGTGGGGTTCCATTTTTATACATTGTGTGTGAATTGTGATTTGTGTAGTTTTTTTTGGTTTTCGTCATGTTTCTTAATTTAACACATTTCCATTTTACTATGTGCACTGATCGTTATATTATTTTCTTGTCTTGTTCATTTCTGGTAAAGATTTTACAAATGAAGTGATGTACAGTAAACATGTTTTGGCAATCAAGATATTTGACACCTCCTCATTGATCGTTTAAATATATAAGTGCTTAAGTATTTTGAGGTTAAAGACGGGTCTGGATGACAGTGGTTCTACCAAGGCTATGCCTGTTGTCGAACAATAAAGGAGTGCTCGTTTCTGGTTCGTTCTTCTTGCGATTGGCGTCCCAGGCAGCGACATCTGTTTCTAGGGCATGGGCCAAATATTGAATGGATTGAAGGCGGGAAGATCTGCGGCCGTCTGCGCGTGTTTAATCAAGAAGGCTCCCATGTTTTTGGCCTAGTTTCATGCCATTCAAATGACGGTTTTAAAGCCTTTTACTCATTCTGAGAATCATCTCTCATTCAGCTTTATTCGTGTATGGAGAAAAATCGATTGCCTACTGTTCTTCTAGCGTCCAAAATGGAGTGTTGGACAAAAATTACACAAAGAAATTTCATGACACCATACTTGCAGCGAAGGTGCTGAACGCTAATCAGGTTTTAAGTCAACATTATGTGTTCATATATGAACTTTAATACAGTTTTAGATTGTCATACTGTTTATGTCCAATCTGTGTGCCTTATATGGATATGAAGTAGAAGATGGGAAGTTGAAGTTAGAGCTTCAAAAACCTGTACAGTCCGAACATGTAGCGACAATGTAACTCAAACTTTACCTAATCTGTTACTACGTAGTATCATGTAGGCTGTATGGAATCATCCTCGGAGACTCATGGCAGAACATAGCTGTAGTCGCTGGAACTGTGTTTGGAGAGATTCTCTATTCGGAACCAGCTAACGGAAGTGAAGTCAAAAGGAAACTGTTGGGGCATACTGTTAGTGATCCAGAAATTTTAAAGATAACAAAAATCGGTTCAGGGCATGATTTTCGGGTTACACGCTCTGGAAAACTTGCTTTACTCCATTTCGGATGATCGCAGTCTGCGTGTTTGGTCTTTAGAAGCAATCAAACTTGGTGGCGAACAGTAAGAGTCATTATATTGGAAAGTGTCTCATGTCAATTCTAGAATTACCGAAATCGATTCTGTGTTTGGCCACTCAGCCAGGCCATTCGCAATATGCTCCTCACCAGATAACCACATTTATACTGCTGGAATAGACCAGGTTTGGGATTGCTTGAGACATCTTGGGCAAACTCACTTTTAGCTTGTTTGTAAATGGAAGATGAATGAGGAGAAGAAGCTAGTACTGGTGGATCAATTATCTCTTAGCACAGGAGGAATTCGATCGTTGAAGTATTACGATGATGCATTGGTTAGGGTTGGGTCTTGCAACTGAGCAAATTTGATTTTAGTGGGTTGGCAGTGAAACAGGAGCCTTGCTCGAAGTAACATTTGCTTCACTCTGCAGTAATGCTGCCCCACCAACGGCTCTGAAAACTTGTGATGATCTGCGTGGATTTGGTTATATGTTGGATGTGCTCTATACTGTTGATGGGAAAGGGTTGGATAATCTTTATTGAGGTTCCTTCTCATGTTTTTGTATATAGGCAGTTGTATAAGAATGGAGAAGCCGTTCATGTCGGCAAGTGTCTACGTTATATTAACGTTTCGCCACCTCATTGCTCGAAGGATATACTCTTGGCTTTCGAAAAGAATGCTTGTGCCATAATCACCGAAGACAAAGAGACTTTGCTTGAGTTTGAAGAAGGAAATGTAGTCAGTGCTGTTTGTTCAGCGAACTACATATTCATCTACAATCTTAACAAACTTGGGGTGAGCCTTCAAGTGTTTGTGTTTCTCACCTGTCTCCTGTTTTTAGAGGTTGTACGACCTATCAGGAAAGCTCTTACGAGAGTTTGATGTGTCAACTTCCATAATGGGCTTACCGAAAAAAGTTTCGTTCTTACCCTCAGCGGTAGAAACGTTCACGAGCTTCGACGGGTAAGGCGTTTCTCTCGTTGACTCTTCTATAATGACTTACTTAAAGAAAAGAACACCTAGTGATTGGTTCGACTTGTGGCCATGTAATTCATTGTTGTTTGGACGATGAATCTAATGTGTTTGAATCTCTTCCTGAAGTTCGTGACTTATATCATTCATTGACACGCTCTTCCCATTACAGATAAGCCGGGTGTGTGCGAAAGGCCAGATCATGAGCATTCGTGACTTGGGCAACAGAATCGCAATTTATTGTAAAAATGGATCTCTTAGCTGTTGGACATATAAAAGTATGTTCTGAATCAAGCTTCTGATCATATAAAACTTCTGTTTAAGATGACATATTCTTGCCATCCGCCCTTCCACTTATTCAGGGCGCCCCCTCTCTTGATTGGCCATGTGGCAGTTTCTTTTTAGGAAATCAAGAGTATATAGCTGAATTTCATTCCGTAAGATCTTTCGCTCTATCGCTCCTATCTCATCTCTCCTTTCCTTCAGACCGATTTTCGTTTACTGAATCGGGATACCGGTCTTGTTGTGTTAAGTTTTTTATGTGGCGGAGGAAATAGGCCCTGGTTCTTCCGACTATCAGAAGATTCTAATGGGAAAACACTAGGAACTCTAACCTTCATTAGGAAAGAGGTATGCCCCAAAGGCTTTCCGTGTTTTAATGCGTTCTCTTAAGACCTTAGTTAGAGTAACCGCTGGAATCCATACTGTTAGCAGTATTGCTGATTCTCTACACGTTTCTCAGATAGTCTCAGTGAGACAACTCTGTTCATATGGTGATTCATCTGTGATTTGCACTACGGGTGTTGATTGTCAAGTGACATTCTCTGAGGTTAACTCTGTTACTCAAGGTATTTAGTGGTCTCACATAGTTATGCCATTTAATCCTTTTGTAGAAGTCGAAGTGCTTGACAAGGTTGCCACAGCTGATGGCATTACATCCTTATGCATATTGGAATCTATAGGTTCCCAGAACGAAGTCACTCTAGTTCTTGGTAGTTCTAAAGGATGTGTTTACACATGGTCAGTCACAATAGAAGGTATGCATCTATCTCTATGCTATTCCTTTTTATATTTTGTGAACTTCAGATAGAGTTGTCAAAGATTTGATTGTTACCGGTTCTTATACACATCCCGATGGCACTCGTGTTTTGGATATCATGGTTTGTCCTGACCCAAATCATCTTCATTCTTTTGTGTTTTAGACAAGAAAGATAGCTCCTGAGCTCCATGAATGTGTAGCGGTGTTAGCTGATGGAAGTATTATGTGAGTGCATCTACCTGATGTCTCAGCTTATAGATTCATTTCAGTTTGCTAACAATCAAAGAAACTATTGCGGAAAACATATTCACTTTGTGTTCAACCATCGATCCTCCTGATTACTCTCTCTACACCAGAGGTCAAATCATAGATGACAACTTCTTCTGGGTGTCTACTTCTGGAAAGCTCGGGCAACATAAGATTAGAGATAACAAGTTGTTTGAGTCTGTCAACCAGGTGCGGTCGTGTCTCTCATTCTCTTTTAACATTGGTGAATTCAGATACAAGCTGTGAAATGTGGAGTATCTTCTGTTGCGGTAACTCCTCTCGATGATGAATACATATGTGTGATTGGAGATGAAGCTGGTGTACTAACTGTTTATGCAGTAAATAGTCTCAAGATGGAGAGAATCTCCACTCTTTCTTATCATTCCGCCACAGTCACAGGTATGATCAGAGATAGTATCCAATTTCAGTTCTATTTTGCAGACGTGAAAATCCGTGTGGAGAACAACATAGCAATCATTTATTCGGTGTCACTTGATTGCAGAGCGGCTGTGCATAGAGTGGATCTGGCATTATCCAAGGTTGATAGAGTCTTCCAAACTCTTTAACATTGTTTGTTTCAGAAAGGATTCATAAAAGGAAAATGTCTGTCTATCTGGGATCCCGCTAGATTCATTTTTGCCGGGTAAATCACTCTTAGCCTTTACATATAACTGTTTTCATCTAGTTCTAGGAACGTTCTGGTCGCAGTGGGCTCTGGTCTCGAAGTTATAACCCTGTAAATTGAAATCAGTTGTTGATTTTTGCCTGTTTCTTGTTCTGTTGAATATAATTTAATCAGCTTTTTCTGTTCTCATGTTCATTAGCTGGCTCGTCTCCACTAATTATCTGACAACCCATGTTCATAACTCATTGTCCTTTTCTATTTTAGAATTCGGTTGCATTATTCTATTTCACAGTTGCGTTAAGCTTCTGGTCCCAAGTCAAGCTGGCGAAACAAATGAGATCAACGTCTAAAAATGACACCAAGAATGTATGTTTTCCTTATTTAGTCACTAAATTTCTGCAAAGTAATGGGCGGTGCAATAGCTTAAGCTAATATCGGCTGCTACGCGTTGTTGTGTATCGATCAGAGCTGGCGGTCTTTTGCCGAACTTGGTTCACAACTAGGCTAACCCATTTAGCTTAGATTTCTATCATCTATCCAATATTGATATTTAGATGATCACAGAAGCCAACTACCTAGAGTTGATGAAAAGTTGTTCAAAATGGAATAGTCGGACATCCAACGAAAGGAAAACTAGGTAAACCATACATCTTCTCACTCTGAAGAGATATCTTAATGAGGATCTCATTTGTCATATTATAGGCTTCGTTTCCCATTCTTCGACCAACAGACTGGCCGAGCCCAAAAATTAGTTCCAAACTACTATAAAACCCGTGATCAACGATATCCCTCTTTCGATACGAATGTGGTAATTAGAGCTATCTTAGAAATTCTCATCTGTTCGTTTGCAGGTTCTTCAATATGAAGCCGAGCGTTGGAGTAAGAGTAACCATCCTCCGGCCGATTCAGTCGAAATGAATATGTTCCTTAGAGAAAATAGAGCTTTGAATGATGCTGTTAATCAGACCACTCAACAGGCTGTTCATATTCACGGTACCACATCAATGAGATACATACTCAGCACGATTTACAGTTCCAGATATATCGTTAGAGATGCCACCAGATATCAAGATGACTCCAATGAAACAGCTTCCTTTTGTGAGTACCAACTCTTCAAGCTTGAACTTCGTCTTCTCTTTCAGTCATTTAAGGAGGACTTCCAGGATGAATTGGATGATGATATGAGCAATGGTGGCTCTGGAAGCGACGAAGAGGATTGGGGATCGAAGAAAAAACGCAAGAGTGGTCCAGTACCTAGCGGCAAGAAGAAGAAGGCGAGTGCGGCGAGTCGTCCGCGCGAGCCACACGCGTGCTCCAGTGAGTCGCCAGTGCCAGGCGGTCGTCGCGCTGCGTTGCGGAAACAGAATTTTGAATTTCTGAGAATTTTTCAAGAAAAGCTCTCTTAGGAGAGGAGAAAAAACCCGAAATTGCCAGGTTCTGAGTGCGCGCGCGACCTGTCGCGGCGCAGGAGGCTCTGTAGATCTAGTTACGAAAGTTACTTGAAGAGTCGGATTCGACGGCCTTTTTGGTTTTTTCCCCCCATCTTACTTTTGACATGAAATTCGCAAAAAATCTAACGTTCTGCCTTGCCAAAAACCAAAATCCTTTATTTCATACCAATTTACTGAAATTTCAGGGTGTGGGGCGAGGTACAAAAGCCTCGCGGGTGTAATGTATCATAATGCATTCGTTCATGACGAACCATCTCCTAATTTAACAAATAAATGTAACGTTAGCTTCATCAGACGACCTCAAACTCTCTGTTTCAGTATTATCCCCTAGTGTAGAGGTATCAGACTTCTGTGATCTGTGTCTGGGAAATAGGTTTTTGAACAAGAAAACTAAGAAAGCTGAGGAACTTGTAACTTGTCATGATTGCGGTCGTTCAGGTATACAGTACCAGAGATCTCCAAATCGTCATTCCTCATATTTCAGGACATCCATTTTGTTTGAGTTTTAATAAGAATGTACTTGTGGTGATTGAAAGGTATGGCTGGCAGTGTATAGAATGCAAGAGCTGTACGATATGCGGTACATCCGAAAATGACGTACGTTGAAGTTAGAAATATGATTGAACAAAATCCTTTTTTAGGATCAATTACTCTTCTGTGACGATTGTGATCGCGGTTTCCATCTGTATTGTTTGAAACCTGCCCTCAAAACTGCTCCAGAGAATGAGTATTCCTGCATACTTTGCCAAAAAGAGTTTGGGGAGAAAGCCAGTGCCCCAGCCTCGAAATGAATCTTCCACATCTCCTGTGCATTAACCTCAATATCATTATTTTAACGGTTATGAACTCACTTACTTTTGTAAATTAGATCTCTTTCCTCTCTATAACTCGAGTCAGGAATCGTTTGAATAACAGTTTGATATTAAACACAGCCTTAACTCTCGCTCTATTCTTACCTAATGCTCAAACAAGATGACCGCATTCTCAGTTTGCATTATACCACTTTGTTTTGTAGCCTGTTTATTGAACTCCTAGTTTTGGTCTTCTCTCTGTGTCATTGCCTTTCCCAGATTGTGTGTACTGGTCAAAATTTGGCATTAAATGTTAGTATACGCTCTTCACGTTTCTTATTCACGGAAATGCTCGTTCATTTTTACAGCGTGAGTTGGTAAGGCGGTTGTTCACCAACTTAGCGTCGTCATGGGTGATTACGAACCCATCATATTACCACTCGATTTAGAGGACGATCCAGCTCCCAATCCAAAACCAATTCGCGGACCAATCAGACCTCCAACTCTTCCGTAAGTAACTTCGTCGTTTAATGTCCATACAGTGAATTAGAAAAGACAAAGACTACAAAGATTACAAAGTGCGCAAGCTTGACGAGAAGAAACACAGGGTGTTCAACTCATGTAGCTCTCCTGGATCAAGTCCCTACAAAAAACGGAAATTTGATGAGCCACGACCAAAACAAAACTCCAGAGACCATAGAAGCAAACCCCACGGCATCAGCTCACCTCACGGTGGGCGCAAGTATTCTACGGGCCGAGCCGACACCAGAGTTCATTACGATTCTGAATCAGAATATTCAGAACCTGGAGAATCATCGGTAAGTGATTTTAAGATATTCTGAATAATGAAAGACATTGTTAAGAAGTGGCTAACAACTTCTGCAGTTGCTTGCTTCTTGGTTTTCGTTGTAATTGTTGGCATATTCGTCACATTCTATTTACAATCTCTCAAAATCATCAATATTCTTCCATTCAATGTATAATTATAAATATGCTTCATCAATAACTATTATATAATATAATCATGCCATACTAAGATAACGTTCTCAGTTAAAGCGCCATTAGCTGGTGCTATTGGTCCCGCCACGATTTTCCTTGGTTTCATAGTAAGCGATTGTATAGACAACGGGCGGCCAATTCTTTTACATTTATAAAATAGACTATCATTTTTTCTCGTATTCGCCGTTTAAAACTTAATTTTGTTATATTATGCATAGAACGGAATTAAGAATGTGCCAAATGCAATTTAAAACAATCTTCGGTTTTGATGTTGCTCTTCACTTTGCTCGGTTATATACTCCTCAAAATTCAAGGGTTCAAAAATTTTCACTTTCATCTTCAGGGTTAAAGCAGGATGTCCATGAGCCGAATCCTGCCCGTCGGCCAAAAAGCTCGTTTTGTTATCATCCCACTTCGCAGTGCTCATCATGCTGCTCGTGAGTTCATCGAAAGTATACGTTTTGTATGTCTTTTTTTTTAGCAGCTGCCACTGGTGCTTCAGTAAGACCAGAAGAGCTTGACGATCCTTCTTTCTTCCAGAAGGTCGCTCTCAGATGGAAGGGTATGTTGTTTTTAATAAACTTGAAAGTGTTCATCAAGTTCCTTCTGTCAGGTATTCCTCTCAAGGGTGAGGCTGCTCCACCAAAATCCATGTTCGATGACTGTGGAAAGGAATGGTTCGCTCCTCAACCACTCCCAGAAGTCCCAAAGGACTTCAAGGAGCATCCAGATCGCGACTTAGTAAGTTTCTTTTTCTTTAATATAATTAAAGCTTTATTGCTCTAGGTAAACTACCCATATCCAGCTCGTCCAATGTATCCACCCAAGACTCGCATGCTCATGATGCCTGACTCTTGGTTCGCACCATTCCAAAAGGTTACCGGAGTCTCTGGTTAGTTATTCCTTTCTCATGCCAGTATTTTTCATTTTCTATAGGACCATACCTCTTCTTCGGAGGTCTCTTCGCTTTCCTTGTTAACAAGGAATTGTGGGTATTCGAAGAGCAGGGACACATGACCGTCGGATGGATCTTGTTCTACCTTCTTGTTTCCAGAACCTCTGGATGTGAGTTGTTTTATCATTTCTGTTTTGAACTTTTGTGTGTTTAGTCAAGATTGATAACTGGCTCTATGGAGAGTACCAAAACAGAATGAACTACTTCAAGGGACTTATCCAAGAAGATCTTAAGGATGCCGTTGAATTCAGAAAGGTATTACTTGTTATCGCTCTCATTCATTCATTGCTTTTGTATTTTCAAGACCTCAGCTGCCGAGACCCAATCTCTTACCGCTGTTAAGGAAGCTTTCCCAACTATCCTCAAGGAGAACATGCAACTCCAACTTGAGGCTAACTACAGGTTTGTCAATTCTTCCTATTTGCTTTCATTACGTACGTGCAATTCAGAAAGAACGTCCAATCTGTTGCTACTGAGCTCAAGAGAAGATTAGACTATCTTAAGGAGACTGAGGAAGCCAAGAAGCGTTTCGAACGTCAACAAATGTTGAAATTCATCAATGAAGGAGTATGTGTTACTCATCAAGTTTTCCTATATTGTTGTTCGTTTGCAGGTTGAGAAGCAAGTTAACGACAAGGCTTTCAAGGACCAATATCTCCAGAATGCCATCCAACAGCTTAAGGGACTCCAAGTTCAACTTTAATTATGCGTAGATTAAATCATTGAGAGCGTTGAAGCTGAAGGTCGATGAGTGGTCTTGTGGGTTTTTTCTATTAGTAGTTTAAGAGCAGAAGTAACACTCATTCCATGACTCGGCTTTAGGCATCGATGTATCTCGAAGGTTTTTAGTTTATGTTTCAATCCGGAGCCCTCAGTGGTTTGAAAATAAAGTATAGATTTGTTTTCCACGTTCTTGTTTATTAATTTAGGTATTAAGAATAAAACATGTCCTTCTATTTCTAAGTGGTAGAGACACGTCAAAGATTTAAACTGTTTAATGCGAGATAGTTTCAGTTTGGGGTAGTTGTACACAGGAATGTGAGGAGTCATCATATACACGTAAGCGAAGGCGAAAAGAAAGAAATGAGTTCGAGAAAAGCTATGTTACATCCTCGCAAGACTATACTGCTTGCTCTCACGTTTTGGAAGTACAGATTGAATGAGGTTGTTAAAAGCTGTTCTGAATCTTGTTGACATAAGGTTGTAAAAGACTGGGTTCAATGTCGCTGATATATATTGTAGGAGACCTGAAATATTTGAAAACAGCTTACAACCGCTCGAATTCTATAGTGCTCACCCGTGATTGGATATAATAGTAGGCAAAACATTGATTTGTCACATTCGGCCTTTGTGTATTGTACAATTAAACGCTCAATGTGGTACGGTAAATAACATATGAAGAAAACTGCTGTGACAGTTACTGAAAAATTTGTTTTTGTATTCATTTGTGTGGGAAGGATTCTCCTAGTGTACCTAGCATTTTAATAACCATTCGTTGAGCTTGCTGACTTTTAGGTGGAGCATAATTTTTCGTGTGAACGTATAGAATTGAAGGAGGTAGAACTGCTGCTGAAGTTGGAGTGATCATCTGTGAGCTGTCACTATTTGTTGTTCCGACCGGAACATGAACTGTGGTCTGATGAGCCATTTCATTAAGAGTGCCTAGGTTAGTAAGTAAATAGTTGGATATATATTGCAGTCTTCTCACCAAGTATACGAACATAGCAGTAAACTATGAAAATCAAGGGCAAAACAAAGGTTACTACCATTATAAGCTGTAACAAAGATTTTTTAGGCGGTCTTCGAAAGCGTGATTACTTCAAAAGGATATGTGAAAGGAACAGCATCACTGGTAGCGTAATCACATATTCCCTCCCAAGTACCCAGCTCTCGGTTGTATCCACAGAAATCGGGAACAACTCGCTTGAACTGCAATGATGTGGTTTTTGAAGCTGGAATGTAATAGTTCTTCAGAGAGATACAAGAAATAGGATGAACGAGCGACCACTCTGAGCAGAGAAAATGAAAAGAATGAATGCAACCGCTCCGTGGAGCAAAAGTGGAAAATGAAGAATGCAACTGCTCCCTGTGGTGTAAGTTGTGCAAAATGAAATGTCAACGTGTTAATTGCCACGTATTTACGTGAAAACAGGAATGTATAATTATAAGGCTGAGCTGAGGATGTGTTACCTGGAATCCTATATAAACTGAAGGGAAAAAGGCTATCACCCATATGCTATATATCAGATTTATTACCCTATTAAGAGTGAGTTATGATATTTCATTTAGAATCGCAACACACCGTCTTTTATGAAAGATTGTCCTATGTCCAAACGGATAGCAAATAGCAACAAATCGTTCTGCTGTTAATGACACTATCGTTAGAATGGAAGCGAACGTGAAGAGTGATATTGATGTGCCTAAACGAACTGCTTAGATCTTTCTGGAACGAGTCGGCCTAACTCATGAAAGCACAATAACCAGCTATGTGTGGAGGATGATGCTTCTTCCATAAATGCATCATATCATATGGAACTCCAACTACGATCAAACATAGATCAGATATAGCTAAAGAAGCTAGGAAATAGTTAGTATGAGAATGAAGTGAAGTAGTCTGAAAAGGATATTCAATTAGTTAGCCTTTGCAAGACGGACCTTATATATAACCAGGACGGTTAATGAGTTTCCAATTATCCCAATAAATCCCACTAGAATGAATATTATAGACAGCAGCACTCGAACGTTGAAAGGAGGAGTAACACCACTGAATAGCAATGTTGAAGATTAGTGACTTGTGGGACTCATCTACCTATCTTCAGCTGTATCTATTGTATTTCGGGGTAATATGAACAAGGTTAAATTCGCAAACTGTGCTACTAGTGGCATATGGCAATACGGCTTCAATCCATTAACTCCGTGAGCCAATGCGGTTAACTGTAACATTAGTGTTTTTCTATGTTTTATTGAATAAAATGAAATGTTTGATTTTGAATTGTTAAGCTAAGGTTCGTCCCTTGAAATCTTTCATGAAATTCAATTCAGACTCTGCAGAGATTAGGTAAACATTTTGCGATCAAAGAAGGAGCAAGCAGTAACTTGACGAGCAAAAATGAAGAACATACAAGTGTGCTGTCCTTCCTCATTTCGTTGTAAATGGACGAGCTGTTGATCAATTCCAATAATGTGTTATATGTTATGTTATCCATCTGGTAAGGCTGCTCTGTAAAACCTGAGTTTCATTTAACTAAAAAAACAGAATGGCTTTCAGACATTTGAAACAAATGATAGCACAAAGAAAAACAAGAAGAAGAACAAATGATAGACGGAGGAAAGGTCAGCTTCAGATTAGCTCCTGAGGAAACGACAATAAAAAGCAAATCAATGGTTTGATGTAAAGGGTGCAATCGAATATGTAAAAAATTAAACGTGTTAGTTACACAACTAATTATAAATTATTTGTTTCCAGGCCCAACTTGATTGATTTCGTTATTGGATGTTAACTCGTGACGATTGATAGAAGAGTCTAATGAGAGAAGAGAGATCGCTAATTTATCAAATCGCAGCAAAAAAAGTAATTTGGAGAAAGAGGATATCATGAAGAGTAACTTGTCAATCATGCTTTCAGGCTTCGCTGAAAAAAAAAAGATCGAGACCTTTCATCTCTGGTGCAAAAACAAGAAGCTTCTGGAATATGACCGAAAGAAGACAGATCATAGTGAGTTGAAATTGTATTCAAATGCCATGCTTGGGAATCCAGGGGTCGTTGATACAGCAAGAGAAGGATGAGGATATGAGAGGTGATTGCCTATTCTAGAATCTCATTTTCAACCAGCGATTGCTTCCTCTTAGTCGCTCTAATTAGCCTCTCCAATCGGCCATTTTGAACGACAAGACTGCCACTAGGCTGACCACCCGGTCTGTTAAAAGGTTCAACAAGCGCTTATCTATAGGTTGTAGCTCGACAAAAAGATTTTTGATTCTCTAACTAAATGTGTAAACAACGTGAGATCCAAACGAATCAAGAGTTGTTGAGTTTAGTTTGAAAAAAAAAGATGAAAAGGACAATTATTAGAAAGCATTGAACACGCTGTCAATGATATGCTGATTACGAAAAAAGGAATAACAGAATGAGCGAAGACAACATATGCAAGCTAATAGTTGCTTCACGAACGGGATGGAAAGGCCCCCGAAACTTAATTTATGGCTAGATGGACGGCAAATTATCATGTCAAAGCGGAACAATTTAGTTTTGTGAGCTTTTGGAGTAATTAAGCGGGTGGGCTGTTACGTTGTTAACAGACAGGTAGAAGAGTTTTGAACGCTTGAAACCCGGAATTTTCTTTGAACGGGCGTTATAATGAGAGATGTCAATGACTGAAAAAAGGAATGTTTAATATCGATATCCATACGAAATAGAATATTCGCGGGAAGATTTTGTTGTTCGAGATTCTCAAATGCTAGAGAGAGAGAGAAAGGAAAGGTTGTGACGTGAGAGAACACCTATAACTTTCTTATTACCTATTCCATGGTCAGGTGACGGCACAGTGATTTTCTTGTATTTCAGAGTGTCAAACTGATGTCGTTGTAAATGCATATGATGAGATATGTAAATAGGAAAGAAACGGAAGAAGAATACCAAGAAAAAGTTCAGACTCTTCGTAACCTGACCTCTGCTTGTGCATAGAAGGTTAGTTCACTCGTTTTTCTAGCTTTAGCGAAGGATTGGAAGTGTCGAAGGGGTAGTAAGGAATTCATGGGATGACAAGATATAGAAGAAAGCTAAAACATGCAGCATTCTCTATATTTATACGAAATTATAAACATATGTACGTAAACAAACATGAATGAAAGATATCTGATAGAGAGATAGTTGATTTTTGGGAAATAGTTGTGAAGAAGCTTTGACTGCTACAGCGTTATCTCACTCTGATGTTAGAGAGCAAAAGGTGAGAAGCCTAGTGTGACAGCAGAGTCGGACGGCGCAGAGTGAATTGGCAATAAAGAAACAATTGACGGATTGGTAGCGGGAACAGGCATACAAAACCGCGTTATGCTAAGAAAAAAATACTTGAAAGTGCTCAAAGTAGGAAGAGTAGTCCTCGCTTAAGAGCGGATTCTACTAATATGAGAACGAAGACAAACAGTTTTTTCTCAGATTGTTTGGGAAAAACAACACATCAGATGTTATTTGGCTTGGCAGCTTAACGAGGAGAATCAAATCAGGACTCGGTCAGTCCTCGCACTCTTCTTGCGTCAGCTTAGACAGATGGCTTTCCTTCGAAACATTAGAAGATAGTGGAAGCGAGAAGAGGAACTCCGTTACCATTAGACACGTGGTATGTATCTTCCTATTTTCTAATTCACATTTACAAATTCAATAAGTAGACGTTTTGCAAGGAAAAATTTTCCTTCAGCAAGGTGATCTACGACTTAATGTAAATGTTTCTTTGATGTAGAACATGCAGAGGAGAATGACACGAAAGTTACTGTTTAAACACTCACAAATGAGCTTTGAGAAGCTAAAAGCAGGTCACGCCACGCGAAAATGACGTGAAGACGAACCATTTAACACCTCTGTTACGTGAGAAGCGGTTGCATCGTGCTGTTGTGGCTAAGCTATTAGGTAAAATGGTGCGAGAGAGAGATAGAGAGAGAGAGGAGAGAAACTGAACATGTCAATTGTTAGTAGCAGAGTTGAGAAATATCTTGTTTTTTGCATAAAATGTTGAAAGCTGTGTGAAAATGTTATGAGAGATCGTGAGTGATTAGCTGAAGCTCGTAGTGCACAAGTAGCTAAGATCAATCAAAATCAAAATTCGCGTCATTAGGAGATAATACAGATTGAGAGATATGGGGGCTAGAGGAGGAGAGAACTCTTATAGTTTGCACGAATCAAAAACTGCTTGAACATTCCAGGTTCATCATAATGGGCTCACAGAGTTGAAAAATTTTCGGATGAGAAATGTGTTTGATTTTTGCACGAGACACACTCTTAGAAATACACATACACAGTGTCCGAGAATTGTGGGTGTAATGTAATGTGGCTCGTAAAAATGGTGAATGTCGACAGACAAAATCACACAAAAGAGACTGATTTGGTAGAAAGTGATAAAGCTGCCGAGTTCGATCAGGGTGTGGCATGGAATTGAAGGACATCACGACATGAGGGTGAATGTCAACATGGTAAATTGTAATTAGAGAGGTGCAGTGAAGTTTCATACATTAAGTTCTATCATTATGTTTGTTTAAAATTGGTGTGAAAGATGTGTTGGTGGAGGAGAAGAAGAGGAAGAAGAAGAAAGTGTCATCGAGAGGTATCATATTTCCATGAAGCATGGATTTGTTTTTCTGTATAGCTTCACGATTGTGCACTTTACTATTGTGTCGACGTCAGCGAAAAAAAAGCGAGAAATGAATTTTACCAGTCGGTTGTGGTTAAGAAAACAAACCGTTTAAACGGCGGCTAGAAGGTAGGCGTGGTTTTTTAATCCTTGGTCTAACTCGAGATAGTCAAAAACGCTTGATGAAGTGAGATTTGATGGTTGTCGTACTGTTCCGAAAGGCTGTTTCGAAATCTCAAAAGATTTTGGCACATCAAGTCTTTCAAGATAAACAAATCGTTCACTGAGCAGATTTATTAATGCCAGATGTGGCTATCGCACTTCTAAACAGTCGTGTCGTTGTCGGATATTAGTCACATACTTGTTGTACAAGAGCTATCATAAATCTAATATTACAGGGACTCAATATAAAAACGAGGTGGACAGTAATTTGAAAATGCAACTGACGACAAATGACAGGAAAAGGTACAAGAACGGAAGAATAACAACTCTTGGAGGAACGAATCATATAAAAGTAAGGTACATAGGCTGTTCACATATCAAATATGGAAGAGACGATCTCTCGGACGTATTGTCTTATTCCATACAACTTTACGTAAAAATTCTTATAAGATCCATTTTCGAAAAAAGGCTCAGTAACGATGTGCGCGAAGTATATCATGAGGAGCTGACGATATCATTACTTAGAAAGTCATTTGAAATTGCTGAACTTACGTATTGAATGCTTGAGAATAGAAAGTTGAGCCATGGATGATTTTGCGCGTATTCTCTAGAGGAATCTGACAATACATCGTCGTCACTCTAGAATTTTAATTCAAAGATATCACGATTGAAAACTCACGTAGCGGTAGGCGAAAGACTCATTGACACATGTACATGCGTCCCGTTTATCTCTCATTATTCGTTCGCGTAGTTCTTGAATACCTCTCCGGTTCAGTTCAATCTCTGAACAAGTAATAACAAAGGATCATGCAAACCAAAAACACACCAGCTAACAACCTCTGCTCCATTCTTGTTTTTTCCTTACTCGTTTCTTCTTGAATTAAGCTCTGAATATGAAGTTTCGCATTCTTCAACGATTTAAAAACAATTACTTTAACTTCAGACTTATTCGACAGCAAATTCTGTGTATCCGATTTAGGGCTGAACGATGAGATCTGGAAAATGCAAATAGAAGTGCAACCGCTCTCCACCTAACACAGCATAGAAATGAATTCTATTTCAAGTCGTGATGCGTAGGGAATGGTTGTTATCACAAAGGATATTTTGAAATAACACATGTAATTAAGATTTGAACTTTGATTACCATGGGGACTGTAGTGTAATAAGTACGTCCTTTCGGCTCAGTTCTCACCACTCGTGTTTGTTGGTTTAACTTGCAACTCAAGAAGTTCTCAGTGACAACCGCCTATGAGGTAAACAATCATTTCGAACTCTTGATGTTTTCACCTGGTTTTGACTCAACTGCGATAATAATAACGATGAAGGTTTTCGAGGTGTTTCAAACATAGATTCTTTCTTCCCGTTTTTCTTCTCTTCCTCTTCATCCGCTTCGATAATGGAGCAATTCGGTTCGAAGTGTTCGAAGGGCTGTTTTCTAATTAGAAACTTCTTCTTCTCACTTTATAATACCTTCTTTGTTGGTTTGCGTGGGGTGCCCTTGTCTCGCATGGTGCGTGGGGATATAATTGACTCATTTGGATTAAGCTTAAATGAAAACTTTTAATACCCTTTCAAGTGTAATTACCTCGGTAGAGGAACCCTTTGCGGGAGTGCTAAACACCGATTTGTTTCCTAAATTGGGCATGATTAAGAGTGTTTAAATCTCTCGGAACCTTTAGGAGAGCTTGGAGCATCCATTCTTTATATCCCTTAAGAGCTTATGGACAGCTTGGGTATTTCTCGAAACTCGATAGGTAATTAGATATACACCCTCATTCACTGGCTCCGCCCTTTAATTTATCATCAGCGCGACATAGTCATTCATGACGCTTGAATGTTTTTTATTCCACGAAATATGCATAACAAGATGTGTAGGCAAAATATTTATTTATATCCTGATCGAATAATCCCGAATAATATGAAATGTTTTACGTTTTCTCATTTTGCATGAAGTTGTGGGGCCGACACTCGCACTTTGCCCGGGATATTTCTGGCAGTTGCTTCATCGCCTACCATAAGTCGGATCTGACTTTCCTCTTGAACGCTGGCTAGTTTGGACCTCTGAAAGCACTCAGTACAAGAAACCAAATGCCATTTCATCTAGTTTACCAAAAATAGATCTAGGGCACTCTTTGCTGATTTTCCTCTTTTGCTAGTTCCAGGCGTTAACTTCACTTTGAACTTGTAATTAGCAAATACCTATAAACAAGATTGATTTCCAGAACAGGAAGGTCACACTACTTGATATGGAGCAACCATGGGGATAGCGAATATGACGGTATCATCTTCTACGGGCTTACCAGTCAACTGAGGTAATAAAGCTGCAAATAATGGATCACTCAAGTACTTGGCAACTTCTTGATAGACCTTCACTATCCTCCACGTGAGCGGTTTCATCTTCTTTGTCTTCCTCTGCATCTTCTTCATTCTTTGGCTCTTGTTTTACCCTTACTGGTTCACGTTTCACATACTGCAGAGAAGGAAGTATCAAATGATGCCCTCACAGATATACTACCTCTTTTTTCTCTTCGACTTCATTGATCTGAACCTCAGGTTCCGGTTTTTTCGCCTTTCCTCTGCTTCCTAGAAGTGTCATCCTCAACTCACGCTCTTCTTCATCTTGATCTTTATATTTTTTCTTCATCTTGTCCATCTTATGCTTTTGCCTCTTGGTGGGCCCTTGTTTGGCTTGAGCATTCTGCAAAGTTTTGGTAATAACTATGCAGGATTACTGGGAACCTTTCGTTCTTCTTCTCTCTTCATCTCTAGATATTTCTTCGTCAGATCTTCTTGAGTTGGTTTGGACTGCTTAGGTTTTCTGCCCTTCTGACCAAGTTCAAGGATGGTGAAATCTTCCTCTACAGCATTCAAAGTTGGGACTGACACCTGATTGGTTGCATTGAGATGATAAGTACCAGAAATATGTTCCTACTTGAACGTCAGGGAATTCATCCTCATTCTCGTCTTTCTTGGCTTCGCCCTCCTCATCCTCCTGCTCGCTTCCATCGAGTTCTACATCATTCTCTTCTTCCTCTTCTTCCTCTTTCGGCATTTCAGAGACCTAAACAAGTGATTCAGAGAAGTAAAATGCGCGATAGGATTACAACTCTTCGCTCTCCTTGATGTCTGGCTATTCCATCTTCGTCAATCTTGAAGAGGATACCGAATCCCATTACCAATTGACTTGCAGGCATAAAATTTTTTTTACCTCTGATCATGAATGATCCCGTGGTCAAGTATTCTCCTGTGGGTGCAGTTCGCGATACCTTCAAATGGTATGGGTTGAGTTCATTTCATATTAAAGCGAACCTGATCATGTCTGACCCACCAAGCACTAGCAACCACTTTTGCTTCCCAAGCATTTGAATAACACACGGCCATCTGACCCGCTTCTGTAAGAGTCTTAGGTGGAATGTCCCCTTTACCCGCTCTGTTTCTGAAGTTATCTTTCGGCTTTCAATCGATTTCATTCTTCAACTAACCTGATGATAACTGAGGCAGCTCCTCTAATGTCTGCGTGAACATATATATCTCCTTCACGAAGATACCTGCGAGAATAACAGTTTGATCAATACTGTTCGATTCTTACTTTTTGACTAAAAGCTCATTTTGCTGAGCATCTCTTCCAGCTACAACTATATAATCTTCCGATGATATGAACCAGAGGAACTTCTCGAACCACATTTGTTTTCGCTTTCTGATTGCTCGAATTCTTCCCTTAACATCATGCTTCATAACTACAGTTGAGAAACTTCGAAACCTGTTCAATCTGATCAAGCGTCTCCTTTGTTTTAAGTTGAGCATTCTTGATAGCTTTACCAGCAGAGGCGAGAGTCTTTTGAGCTTTCTCCGCTGCAGCTTTCTTGTCATCAAAGTACTTTCGTGAATTTTGGAATGTATTCAGTCCTGCGTCGATTACAGCATCAATTCTGTCGAAAAAAAATCATATGACGTGTTCCGCTAAGTACTTACGTTGGTTCTTCAGGATCATATGGGTCTGCGAGACGTAAAGTGAATTGGTTACTGTCTAGATTGAGTTTGACGATAGCTCTGGAAAGAATACGAGGGTTGCATCATCTCTTCAAACTTTTTACTTAGCCACTGAGTCATTAGCCTTTATCATTTTCTTCAGCATTTCGTCAATCGACTCCCATGTCAATTGACTGGCGATGGCAGAAAGCATCAGATGAAGAGCCTTATCCACAAGATCCTGAACTCTCCCTTATTAAACTGTACTTTCAACTCAAAACCTTGTTGATGATTATGCGTTCAGCTATGAGTTTTTGCTTTTCTTGGCATTCTTCCAAAGCTAAAACTCGACCCTCCTGATCTTTCCGAACGTTATCCAGTTTCTTCAAAGCCTCTCGTTCCATGTTGAGCGTTCGTTGGTCCTGTTAACGCAAAGTTTCATTAATTTCAAGATATTTTCAGTACCTGTTTTTGCTCATCAAGTTTGGAATAGAACTCATCGACAGCTTCACTGAATGATGGAAACTCTTTGAATGGTCCGGAAGCACATTGAGTGAAGAGATAAGGATGATAGTCCTATGTATTGATAGACTGAATATGCCAGTGCAAACTCACTTGGTATGTCTCCAAAGGAGTACCATCAGCTCTCTGATCGTTCTTGTAGGTGATGAAGCCCTTACATGGTGTAGCTTTGATGGTATCGTAAACAACTGAACCCTTCACTAACGCGTCATGCACTCTCTTAATGTCTTCTGGCGTGTTATCCACATTTTTTAGGAACTTGAAAGAATTTGTTATCTAGATGACAAAGAAACTTCGAGAACCTGTGCGTTATTGGGAAATCCAGACTCGAATAGAGCATGATCAATCAGAGGACCGCCCATTTGAGTTAAAGGTGCTATCATTCTTCTTAAATTGTCTCCCTTCTTAGCTTTGGAGAAAGCTTCTTGAAGGTTTTCAACAGTGGGAAGATCATCTTCTGATCTCGCATTCTCGATGGGGAACCTAACAGAGTCAATGAAATGAACGATTACTAAGAGCACTAACTTTTGTTTTACTGATAGTCTCACATCAGTATCTTTATCTGTTCGCGGTCGAAGAATGTTGAGAATAATGTACTCATGATCAGTTAGCAAAATGTTCCCTCTGTTTTCGAAAATAAGATTTCATCATTCGCCCTGCCGTACCTATCGTATAGCTCCACTATAATGTGCACAGCTCTATCATCTTCACCAAAAGTCATATCGATAACTCTGTCTACTCCCAATTGACTAATCTTCTCTAGTCTGAATTTCTTGGATATGTGGTTCCATGCTTGTAACGTCGTACGTACCGCTTTTGCTTGACATGCTTTCTCATTTTCATACTGAACGAAGAGGGGAATTGTGATTTTGGCCAATCAATGTTCGTTTTTTGTATGCGTATACCAGATTCAAATAATATAACAGCCTTTTCATCAGGTCTAAATATTCCTAGTAGATACAAAGACGCATTTTCCTACTTCTGCAGTCTAATCAGATATGTTTTCGAGTTTATATCATAAATATTGTTCACTCGCATGCCTTCCAGAGGCTTGAGGTCATGCACAGCAGCTAAGACATCTAGAGTGGTGAATCTATTCTTCATTGTCACCTGCAAATTTTAATATTGCTGAATGTTAATTGAACGGTGGGGATGAAGGGATACATGAAGGATTTCAAAACTTGTCAACGAAAGGTTACACACATACCGTCTGATTGAAAATGGACGTACACTCTATGGACTTTCATGAAAGTTTGGAATTGTCTATTCAAAGTTGTTCCAAATTGGGAAACAGGAAAAAAAGGGGGAAATGAACAACACATAGAAGGAAACAATAAAGTCGATGGGAAATAAAAGTTTTTTTTTCAAATATTCATAACACCATAAAGGTTTAGTGAGCAAGAATGTGTTAACATCAATACGACTTTCAGCTTGATTGTTGTGGGAGAACAGGAGACTATGCAAATCTCGAAGAACATTCATGTTTTCAATATGTCATGGTCCACGTGGAGCTCACGTGAAAATCTCATTCATTTCCTCGAGTACGGTTGTGATGATCGGTTGCTTTAGTGTTAAACATCAACATCTCAAAGTGCATTTTTATAGTGATACCTAGCCATCCAGAAATGAAGTTTCATCAAGTACAAAAGACAAAGTACCCCATCATGCCATATAACTTCTGTGAGTTTTGTCCAAACTCTATGCCTTATAGTTCGAAAGTATATTGTAATTTTTGATCTAGTAAACAAACGTACGCGGGAGTTTTATAGAGGTAGTAACTAAGAGTATCAGTTGCAACCAATAAGTGACTTGTCTCCCCCTCGTGATAGCATAGTTGTTCTTAGCCCTGAATCATATGTAACTTTCAATTTTTTTCAGATGCTAATAATATTAACTTACTTACTCCTAATCGGATCAGGTATGATTTCACATGAGATATCAGATCTGTATGTATTCCTTCTTCAGCAGCAGCTGATGACTCCTTCATCTTCGGTTTACACCCAATAACTACTGAAGAACAAAACTTACAACCATGTTCTGGAAGAGAACCAGGAATGTATAGTGAAGTATGTACATCGTTTATAACTTCTTCTAAATGCTTTTTCTAGGGCTGCGGACCTGAAGTCTTGGTATGTCAATCCTCTGATCGTTTCTACAATGCCAGATGTTCTTTCGGATTATGGTTCGACCAAGTATGTTTCCGATATTGTTATTCTTTTTCACGACTTACTTAATATAGGAAGCCCAAGTATGTGTTAACCCTGACGATCATAACTTGTGCAAGTTCGACCAAACCGCTGAATTCGTCAACTCTCTGGTACTTGCAGGTATATAACTAGTTTCCCATACAGTGCTTGAATTCAATATCATTTATCTTCAGAGGTTCCCCAACTCACATGTAATGGAATTACCGACGGAGTTCACCCCGTTACACTTTGCTCAATGTCTTTCCTTCGTTGCTTGAACGGTGTCCCAACGTAAGAATATCTTGTAAGAGTTTTGTTTCATGTTTTTTCAGTCTTTTCGAATGCCCCGATGGTATGGCTTATTCTTCTGAAGAAGACAACTGTATCGACAAGGATGAGCTAGATGAGTGTCAGAACTTATCTATCGAAGGTCAATTCAGAACTGAAGATGGAGGTTTGTGCTGTCCAATGTATAGCTACTACGATTTATTTTATTCAGCTGTCTCTGAGTGCGAGAGAGATGGTATTATACCCTCAAAAACTTGCTCTCCTATGTTCATAACCTGCAGCAATGGAGTTTCTCATGTCATGTCCTGCCCACCTTCTCTTGTGTTCGATAGACGGTACTCGAGGAAAACTTCCGATTCAGTTACTAATAATCTTTTTTCCAGTATTCAAGCTTGCGAGTTCCCTGCCAACGTTTACGAGTGTCAAGCTTCTAGCCTTCCTACTGATTGCTTGGAAGACGGTTTGTTCAGTTTCGGAAACTGCTCTGACAAATTCATCGCTTGTACCAACGGTTTGTTGATGGTTCAAATATTCTAACTTAGCTATATTTTAGGACGTGCAATCACCATGAACTGCCCATCTGAGTTAGCTTTCGATGAATCCAAGCAACTTTGCGATTATCCATTCGATGTTGCTGAGTGCGAGTCCTCTGGTGAGGAAAGTTCTGGTGAAGAAGGCTCAGGAGAAGAAGGCTCAGGAGAAGAAAGTTCTGGTGAAGAAGGATCAGGAGAAGGATCTGGAGAAGAAGGATCTGGAGAGAGCTCTGGTGAAGAATCTGGAGAATGGTCTGGAGAAGAATCAGGAGAAGCTGCTTTGGAAGAAATTGAAGAAGAAAACTCCGGTGAATGGTCTGGCGAGGAAGTTTTGGCTTCTGGATCTGAAACAGAAGAGACTTCTGGATCAGAACCAACTGTAGAATCCTCGGGTGATACACTCACTGGAACTGAATCTAGCGGATCCGAACCAGAGGTTCAAACTGAAGCTCCAGAGATCATTTTCCGACCAATTGACTTCCAACCTTTCTTCGATCAGCCAACAATTGAAAGCTCTGGTGATTCTGAAGGCAGTGTAAGTTCTGCGTTTATCGTATTTATCACAAACCATCTTCAGGGTTACGGATCTGGCGTCTACGCCTACAGTTACGGAGAAGATGACACCATGAACTCAAGTGGAGAAGGCAGTGGTTATGAAAGTTCCGGTGTTGAATCCAGTGGTGTAGAAGAATATTCTGGATATGGAATGGCAGAGGTTGAAGGATCAGGAATTGAAGACAATTCTGAATTCTTAACTTCATTGAAGCAAGTTGGACCAGAGAGAAGTAAGTTGATGAGAATCGACAGTTTGTAATTGTTAGCATTCAGCTATCGCATTATGTAAGGGACGTGAGAACGGCTTCTATTCACTTGGATGCTCCTCTCTTCTTCTGTCATGCAGAAATCATAAGTCTCGCCTTTTGGCCTGTCCTTACAATCTTATCTTCGACGAGGAGAAAGGATATTGCGAGGCTGCTTCCAACATCAATGAATGCGTACACCGCAAGTCCCACCATGTTTATGAGAATGGTATGCTTTCTGTTGTGTTCGTGCTAATTTTCTTTTTCTAGCTGTTACCGCTGTTCCTACTACAACTGCTGCTTATGGAGTTCAAGACTCTTTGAGTGAGTTACTTGTTCAAACATGAAGCTTATCCCAATTTGCAGATCGCCTTTGCTCTAACCAATATGATGGCCGTGTTTCATTGGGATGTCAATCCGAATACTTGATTTGCATGGGTGGACAGGCTTTGAAGTCATCTTGCCCTGAAGGAGAAACCATTGATGAGCCTTCCCAAAAGTATTTGTTTGTGCAGTGACGGAATTTACGCTTTATTGATTTCAGGTGTTTGGCATTGAGAGAGCATTCTCTCTGCTCCAGAGAGGTATACGCTGCCCAAGCTTTGTCCGGAGATGGAACCTACAACGAAGATATTGACAAAGAAAGAAAGATGGAGAAGTTCCTTCTTAAGGAAGAGAAAAAGATTGTCGAGAAGACTGGCTTCTCTCTGGAAAACTTAAGAGGTCTTTTATAGTTAATTGGACGTTCCTATTAGATGATTCAGGTGCGTTCCCATGTTCGGAAGAAGGAGCGTTCTCCAAGCGTAAATGCTCAAACAAGTTTGTATTCTGTTCTGGTGGATCGGTAAGAATGTTTCTTCTTCGAATGTCTCAGCAATCCATCATTTAAGGGAGTTCACTTGTACTGTGACACTGGAATGCTCTACTCTAATGAACTTAAGAAATGCGTCACAGCTTCAGATCTCTCTGAATGCTCTGCTGAAAATATTAACAGTTATTAATAATGTTAAATCATTCTTGCATCTCATCCAACAATTTTTATTTTTTTGCCATCTTATACCTCTAGTCTCAATTGTATCATAAAGTTTTACCTTTTTAGTCTTGTTTCTAACCAATTTTCATAAAAGACTTTACTATTGGCGTATCGGACTTTACTAGCTTTTGAGTGTTCACAACAAATATCTTTGGCTCAGGATGACTAAGTGCCGTTGTTCTATACAACCTTTCCAGGAGAACTAATAAGACTGAAAGTGGGCGGAACGAAAATCAGGCTGCTAGTAACACTCGTTGACATGGTAACGTGAGGCAGCTGCAAGCTGACCAGCAACTGCTGCCAACCACTCTGGATCGATTCGCCGAATCGAGCCGACATCTACTGCATTCTAGTTTAGTTCAAAGCCTTTTATGACTTTTTTCCGCTGCTTTGTTTATTTAAAATTCTTTTGCTTGTCGTTATGCTGTCGTTGAACTGTTGAAGATGTTGTGTTGCGAAACATGACCTCTCGATGATGGTCTGTAGCCAATTTCTGCAACAGATGTCGACTCGTGCAGAGGTCATGATGGTCTCCCTTTGAAGACAATTTTGCTCTTCTTGCCAGTTTCCACACATTATATTCTATCCCATTCACAAATATTTTTACAGGCGACAACATGCGTGAAATCGTTCATATTCAAGCTGGCCAATGCGGTAACCAAATTGGAGCTAAGGTATGCTCTCTCTATTTGTCAGACCCTTCGTTCGCTTCACGAATATTGAATTTCTAACTCCGTTTTTTTTAGTTCTGGGAAGTTATCTCTGATGAACATGGCATCGATCCAACTGGAGCCTATAATGGCGACTCGGATTTGCAATTGGAGCGAATCAATGTTTATTATAATGAAGCTAGTGGTATCACCAATAATTGAAGTCCCATTTTGATTATAAATATCCGTTTGAGGCGGAAAATATGTTCCTCGCGCCTGCTTGGTTGATTTGGAACCTGGAACTATGGACTCTGTTAGGGCTGGTCCTTTCGGTCAACTCTTCCGTCCAGACAACTTTGTTTTTGGTATTTCATGAGACATAAGAAACGACAATTATTCACAATGGTTTTCAGGACAATCTGGAGCCGGAAACAATTGGGCAAAGGGACATTATACCGAAGGAGCTGAGTTGGTAGATAATGTCTTGGATGTTGTTCGCAAGGAGGCTGAAAGCTGTGATTGCCTCCAGGTTAGTCTTGCTCTTTGACCTTCTTCTCACATTCTCTTGAATTTTCGCTGGGGGGAAGTTATGAAATCGAAGAAAAACAAAAGACGCTGTTGAAAGCGTAATTAGCCTGTTTCTTTGAGAAGGAAGACTGTTCCATCCGGAAATGTTTACAAAGTGCAATTGTATATGAGTGAGTGGAAGAAAGTATCGCCCATCCACTTGAGTTCCTTATAGAGCTGAAGATGGGGAATATGATCATGTCATATGTCATCCAAATATCACAATATCCTCATTGAAAGACTATGACATCTGTTAGTAGCGCTTGTCTTCAGGGAATTAGCTTATTAGAATCTTGACCGCATGTGCCTAATTAGCATACACAAAACGACTGCAATCAATAATTCTTTATTGCCCCGCGTATTCATTTATACCGAAATGTCATCAGAGAGCGGTCGCATTCCATGATTCTTTCATCAATCCGATGCACTTCATGAAAGCGGAAGGAAAACGTTCCAAAAAACTAATGATTCTATGCTATTCTTACTAGCCTCATTCATGTTTTGAACAAGGCGGGCTAAAGCAAAGATGCTACTTCAAGTGGAAAGAAATTGAAAAACGCACCTGCTTATTTGGTTGTAGTAATGAGGACAGATGGATGTATGAGGATCAAGAGAGAAGCGAAATTATTAGATGCTGTTGTTTATGGAATGTTATGTAATCATTCATAGGGCTTCCAAATGACTCACTCTCTTGGTGGAGGTACTGGATCTGGAATGGGAACTTTACTGATTTCTAAAATCCGTGAGGAATATCCGGATAGAATTATGAACACGTACTCTGTTGTCCCAAGTCCCAAAGTTTCTGATACGGTAAAGCCTTAAGGATGGACTGTTCAACCTTCATATCTTCTAGGTTGTTGAACCCTACAATGCCACCCTTTCCGTTCATCAATTGGTTGAGAACACCGATGAGACTTTCTGCATCGATAACGAGGTTCCTATATGCACTAAGGACATGTGATAAAAGATTCTTCTCAGGCTCTCTATGATATCTGCTTCCGAACTCTGAAACTGACTACACCTACTTATGGAGATTTGAATCATTTGGTTTCCATGACTATGAGTGGAGTAACGACTTGTCTCCGCTTCCCTGGACAGGTATGCCGAGGGCTCAGAGTCGGTTCAGGAAACAAATTCTTTTCAGTTGAATGCTGACTTGCGTAAGCTTGCCGTTAATATGGTTCCTTTCCCACGTCTTCATTTCTTCATGCCTGGCTTTGCACCTCTCACGTCCCGAGGAAGTCAGCAATACAGGTGAACTTATCTTTTTTATCTCCAACATGATCTCTTTGTTTGCAGATCCCTGACTGTTCCTGAATTAACCCAACAGATGTTCGACGCCAAAAACATGATGGCTGCTTGTGATCCAAGACACGGTCGATATTTGACCGTAGCCGCCATGTTCCGTGGAAGAATGAGCATGAAAGTAAGCTTCTTTCCAGTTCATGTCGTCCCCGAAACTTCCCTATATTGTTGTGATGTGATAATGATCGGAAAGATTCAAAACGATGTAGTTTGATCGCTTGTCGATCGTGAGTACATCTACCCACGTTTGAAGTGAAGAAGAGTGTTTTGATAGAAGACGGATGCCATGGTAATGAAAGCGAAAGCGTTTTTCCTTGTTTGAGATAAGGGTCATGTCAGGAACAGAATTAAGTTCAACGGAACATAATGTCCACGGCCGCCTTTTGCTTTATCTGGCAAATCTTTCGCTGTCTACTGACGACGTGGTCAATGATGGACATTAAAAGCAAATAATCTTTCGCATCTACCAAACGATTTATATTTTGAAATTTTGCAAATCCAGCACAAATTTGGGTGAAAAAGTTCGTGAAAAGATCGGAAAAATGAACCTGTCAATTAGAAAAACGAACTTCTTCTCGCGGAACTTTGATTGGAGAGTACCTGTGAAGGTTCTTCTTCCTCTTTTGAATCAACGAAACACGGAAGAAACATAGGTTACGATATACGAATCGAAGCTTCATTAGTGGGATAAGAGGATATTTCTGCGATTAGAACTAGACTATTGAATGGAGCGGAGGAAGATTGAATTGAACATTCTCTGATTTAGGAAGTTGATGAGCAAATGCTTAATGTCCAGAACAAGAATAGTTCATACTTTGTTGAATGGATTCCAAACAACGTTAAGACTGCTGTCTGTGATATTCCACCTCGTGGAGTCAAGGTTTATCTCTATCTCTAGTGGAACTAATGAACATATATGATATTTAAAGATGGCAGCCACTTTCATTGGAAACTCCACGGCTATCCAGGAGCTCTTCAAACGTATCTCAGAACAGTTCACCGGTAGTAACTATTGATATACCACTCTTACTTGATAGTTTCTAGCTATGTTCCGTAGAAAAGCTTTCCTTCATTGGTACACCGGAGAGGGTATGGATGAAATGGAGTTCACTGAAGCTGAGTCCAATATGAATGATCTCGTCTCTGAGTATCAGCAATATCAGGTGAGTATATGCTCGCTATCAACATAAGCTTAATGGTTCTTCGTTAAGGAAGCTACTGCTGATGATGATGGAGAGTTTGATGAGCACGACAACGATGTCGAATAATCTCCTGACAGGAGTAACTGTAGTTTCATGACATACTGAAAGTAGCATCACAATCATAAACAGACTAAGCTTCTCATGCATCATAGTAAACTCATAAGTGTTGTGAGCCATCTAATAACTCTTATCTAATATTGTAATATGTTTAGTCCGTATAATAAATCTTCAAATAGAATTAGCTGAAGGAAACATAAAGGTCGTTATAGACCCTATATCTTAGGAATATTTGAGAAAGCTACAAATAACCGGGTGCTTCGAGATTTGTTTAGAAGATTGAGTGAAATCTTATCTTAAGGATAATTTTATAGTGTGCAAGCTTTCATGTTCATGTTGAAATATATTTAATCTCAATTCTAGCCCATTCTCACAGCAAATGAAGCTATCGGAAAGCAGATTGAAAGAACTGGAGTGAGATTAAATTCGTTTTTCGAATTCCATAACTATCGGATCGAGTGTTAGGCTAATTGCAAATGATTGAGAAATCGTTTATGAAACAATAATATTTATATTTAAAAAAATATTTTTGAAAGCCTGAATTAGAGGTCCATGGAACTGTAGGGAGCCAGAGTTGGCTGTAAGTGTGCTCAACCGGTCTGTGCGCGCGCAAATGTAAAAATGATAATGTCATTGGTCCATGACAAGCTCCAGCTTGTAGTCTATTCTAATTGTCATAAACAACGCTAACCATACACCTATCATCATCTCTCAAATTGTTTTTGTAGGTCTCCGGAATCCTTTCAAGCAGAAGATTGTGTTGATCGGGAATTCATTGCGCACCTGCTTGTTAGTGGATGAATTCGTGTACTCATTTTTTTTCTAGGAATATGATTCTTCCTCGGATTCCATGGTGTGTTCATCTTTTGTTCTAACAAATTTTTCTATCAGTTATTCAATCTAGACGATTCCATAGTGGCTATGTTGTACACGTGTGTTTGATGTTCATCTCATGGAGACAGCCAGAGAAAGAAAAAGGGAGTGAAGCCTTTCCTCAAGTCAGTAGACGATCTCTTCCCTCTCACCTTATCTTTTTCTTTCACTCCCTCATCTCATTAATTTCGACGATATCCCCAGCCTTTTTTCGTCAGAACCTACAACCGCTTTCATTGTCTGACATCATTGGAACGTTTCATTTGGGTACAGTCCCATCTCCTCCCACTTTTAACTTTCCCACCCCAAAGCTCTGGAGATTCTTTCATCCTCTCCTTTCTCAGTTTGCACGTCGACTCTGAAACCGCCTCGTTACTCCGGTCTCGTGTGTGCGTGTGTGAACCCCGCCCACCGTATTCTCGCTCATCCAGACTTTGATTCTGTGTTAGCATCTCTGCATGTATCAGTCGTTTAGCCGTTGTATCCTTTCTGTCCTATACATCAACGCTCTTTTCTTCTCCGTTCCTTTATCACTGATTGTCTGGTACGTTAGAAGAGAGCTCGTTTCGGAAACAGGCGTCGCCGGTGACGACAAGGTAAGCTTGCTAAAGTTACCGTGTACAGCACAGACTGAAACAGCTCCAAGTTGTAAGTTCTTGTCTTCATTTTTGGAATACTCTGTTCCATTCGCAAATAGACTTGGAGCTTGAATCAGGGGATATAACGTCTTTACTAAAGTTTGTGTTGCAGCTCGGCGGCATAAGTGCGAAGCCTCGCATTAAGGACGCCAATCAGAACTTCGAAGTTTGCGTAGTCGATAGGGCCAGCCACTAATCAAGGTATGTTGTATAGTTCAAGTTCTCTAATGAATTCATATGCAGCCTACAGCTTGAGTTGAGCTTACGCTCACTCTCCCTTCACTTCTCTCTTTGTCATCACTTTTGTAGTCCTGGTTAGGGGTGCCAAACACTTTCTGAACTCATAAATCAAACTTAGACAAACGAATGAAACTGAGAATATTTATTAAGTGACTAATTGCTTTCTTTTAACTTTTCGCCATTAAAATGTAAAACATATCCCGGTCGTGAACTATATCTGATTGATCTCCCTCTTGAATTTCACTTCTTTCACTCAATCATCAAAGCCAGTTAAAAACGAATTAGTTACGAAGTTTTTTGTTAATATATTTCTCAGTTTATTTACAACTCCCTTGTTCTTTCCATTTTCAATCATGGCCCGAAAAGTCTCGAATCTCGCTGTTCTCATTTTCCTTTCCTTTTCTGTAAATGCTGAACTGAATTCAGTCTGTTACAATCTGCACACCGTGCTTGCTCAGTCTCATTCTTCATCACCTAAGTAGCTTGAGTCCTTCTGAAGTATCCTCACACCTTTCATTTTTTCGCTTTCGCTTCTGTCCCTTCAATTCCAATCCTCTTCTTTCCTTGTTCCATTCAAGTCTGCTTGTTCACTTCTTCCTGGCTTCAGACGGGATGAGGAGAGAAACATCTCAGTTTTGAAGAAGCGTTATTTCTATATTTCACTAGGAAAGATTAGAATCTTGGATTCTAAACGAAAAGTGGGTCGACAGGAATAGGCGGCTTTGCTCGCAGTTCGTAAGGTCCAATATCTTAGTTTCCTCACTTTCATCATTTGAAAATCTTGTTCGTCTTCACTTTTACTTAAGAGATGAGGTCAGATAACGAACAATTCTCGAAGTCACTTTGTTTCAAATAGTTCATCTTTCCGTCATTTCTCATCATATGATGATCATTTTTGGATAACAGATTGAGCATGAAATACATTCATACTCTGATTTCAGAATGCAAGTGGTGATTATCCATCCAGAACAATGGAATGGTGGATCGGACCGATGTAGTGTTGCTCTTCTGAATCATTTTGTCTCCCAGGGACACCAAGTTATCTGGTTAACAACTATGATCGACGATTATTGGAAAGATCACAAGTTCGAGGGTGTTGGTAGGTTCTTTCTCTTCTAGATAGTATGAATTCCTTCCTTTATAGAAATCCGAAATCTGAATATGCGTCTCCATCCTGGAGATTGGTGGAGTCAGAATGTCGCTCTTGGCTGGCACATGGTTCTTAGCGATTTGAACCCAGATGTCTGTGTTATCGATCACTCAGCCAGGTAGAAAAGCTAGTGTCCATCATCTTACTATGGAGTTTCAGTTGTGTTCCTATGATCAAGTACCGCTTCCCAAAATGCAAAATTCTGTTTTATTGTCATTTCCCCCAACAGCTGGTTACTCCTTCTAGATTTTTCTTGTACAGGTACTTGTCCTATTCTCATACTGTCAGTGCATCAGTTTACTTTGTAGATGGTATTCGAAGCTCATTGGAACCGTTGAGAGCATGATGTTCGAGCAAGTTGATTGCATTATGGTCAACAGCCATTTCACTGGTAGGCTTACACTTTGCGAAAGCTTGAAGACAGTTCTGTTTAGCTTCGCAGTTCCATAGGGTGATGCCTCAAATCTCGACGGACAAAGTGAGGGTGGTTTATCCTCCTTGTGATGTCGATGCCAACATTTCGGTTTGTTCATCACTCTTGAAATGCTTATCAATCTGTTTTCTCCAGGCCGCAGTTTCAGTCAGTAGGCGATCGCGTGCCGCAAACTCCAAGTATATTTTCATGTCCATGAACAGATTCTGGCCAGAAAAACGTTTGGATATTATTGTTATAGCTGCTTGTACGTTTATCCTTTTCGATTCCTGACTTTTGTTTTGTTTCTCAGCCATTCTCAAGAAAGAGGGCTACAACTTCGCTGTTCAGTTAGCAGGATCAGTGATGCCTCATATTCCTGAGAGCAAAATATATTATGAACTTCTTAGACGGATGGTAGAGGTACGTCATCAGGGCTTCACGGCTAGTATGTAACATCCAAAAACAGGAATATGGCGTTGGAGATGTTGTGGAATTTATTGCTTCTCCTACGGAAGAAGAGAAATTTGCCTTATACAGAGGATGTGACACTGCGTTATACACTCCTCCTAATGAACACTTTGGAATTGTCCCTATTGAGGTAGACCCGGCTTGCCGACAAGTCTTAAGAAACATCTTTGAAGGCTCTTGATCAACGCCGGCCTGTGATAGTTTGTGATAGTGGTGGACCTGCTGAGACAGTTATCGAAGATATTACGGGTAGCAAAGTAAGAACAACTTATTTTTATTCTGCTCAAGGATTCATTTCAGATAGAGTCTCCCACTGGTGAGCATCTAGCTGCTGCC